CTACCATTGCTTTCTCTATTACTGTTGTTTGCACTCCTGGGTTAGAAGTAAAATGCATCGTTGTCTCAGTAACCTTTAATCTGGCATAACAATAGAGTTGAATTCTAATCTGACAGGGACAATGTTTTACCTTATATCTGACATTAACAATCAAACGTTGGGATGTCTTTATAAATGCAAACAGTCAGCCGCTCCGGAGGTGGCGGTACTGCACCTTAAAGTGTTTGCAATCCCAAAAACGAGAGAGAAGAAGAAGAAGAAGGCAAAAAGGCGAGAGAAGAGAAGAAGAGACGACTCGGAGCTGTCCGGACTTCAAACAGCTTTTGAGACCTCCCCCGGCTGCGATCGCTATTCTCGTCTCTTTCGAGCGAGCCGCAACCGTCTCAAAAAAGCTGTGTTTTATTTTTGAATTAATCGCGTAATCTGAGTAGTGTATTTTCCTGTCTCTAACAGAGAGCGGCGGGGGTGGTGGGTGGTGCGTTGTTTGAACAAAGCGAGACCTGCGAGACCTGCGCATTTCTATCAGGTCTATGCTGTGGTTGCATGATGTTAGTAATTTTGTCGGATTGCTTTGGAGCTCGCCTACGATGAGACGTTGAAATCTCGCGGGACAAAGACGCCCGCAGCCTTGAGAGCGAGGCACGGCGATATCGAATATGGAAAGCCTAAAATGCCACCATTCGCCCGTTTAAATTATTACGCGCGAAAAACGCCCGTTTCACGCACGAATATACGCGCGTAAAACGCGCGTTTCTTAATATGATAATGAGCCCCTCCTTCTGATTTCCATAGCCACTAAGTTTAAAGTGTCTGTAACCAATCAGTGAAGAGTAAAGCCAGACCAAAGCAATCTGTAGATGAAAAGTTCCTGAAATGTTTAGGCTTTGCTGTAAATTGTATATTATTCCAGATTCAGGGGACCAAGTATTAATTTTCCTTTGAATATAATCAATAAATCAAACAATATAAAATATATATATATAAAAAATACAATTGCCTTACGCTTTTCCTTAACCCTCTGGAGTATAAGGATATTTTCTCGATATGTAGACGTCTCCTTAAATCACCTTTTAAATGTACTTCTTATAACATGGCACCCCATATGTTACTTATCGAAATATTCAGGACACTCTCTGGTCTTGCTAGAGATGCAAGTCACTCACCTTAGAGCACTGTCTTATGAGATACTTAGCTGAAAATGAGAAATCCGATTTTTGGAAAACCTAAAAACTCTTGTGAAAACACATTTACTCATCTCGTCTATTTTTTGGGGCGTTTTAGATTTGGTTTACAAAAGTAGTGAAATAATTATATGAATTACACTATAGGCCTATATAGATGAAATGAAATGTTATTCATGTGTAAAATAGTTCCATCCCTCTGCTTTCACCACAGAAAAGTTACATCAGGACTGATTCATGACTTCATATTCCATACCAAGGTTCATGTGATGTGTACAAATACAAATTGAGCATTAGAACTTTTTTTTCAACCAACAATTTATGTTAACATAAGAAACTGTAAAATCTCAATATTTACAATATCAGAACTTTTTCAACCAACTATTCATTATAAATGTAAAGACAGGGGGAGCAGTGTCATGGTCTTTGTCTGTCTTCCAGGACAGGGGGTCTGGCTGCTGTGTAGGTGATGGTGCATGGGCTGCTGGTGGCTGTGTCGGAGGGAGGTAGGTGTGATTGTCCCAGGTTGATGCTGGTGGCCGTGTGGGAGGTACGTCTGCTAGGCGAGACTTCTTTGCTGGCTGGGTTGATCGTGATGGCTGTGATGGAGGCCTTTGTACCGAGGTGTATCTTAATCTTGTGGCAGATGGAGATGGAGGCCACTGTAGTGATGATGGTCCTCTGGTCCTTGGTGGTGATGGCTCTGGTGAAGGCCCTTGAGCCACGGTAGATCTTGACCTGGGGGCAGGGACAAATGGAGGTTCTTGTTGCTGCTAGGCCCAGGCAGCTGTGAAATCTGAAAAAAATATAGGACAATAATTACTACTAAGTTTGTTAAAATAAAGTTCAAGTGGAATGTTTCTCAAGCACAAATAACAATGCACAACTAAAAATAAAATTATCTCTCTCTCTGGAGGAGGAGGAGGAGGAGGAGGAGGAGGAGCGTGTGAGAGATAGAAAGAGAGACGTTGTTAGTATTTGGTGCTAGCTCGGAGCTAACGGAGATTAGAAGCTGTTTCAACAATAAGGAGAGGGAGAGCTCTCTCCTCTGGGACTGAGAGAGATAAGGTCAGCTCAGGGAGGTAAAGGACTATTAGATTGTAATCTTTAGTCTACGTTATCTCAGTGGGTCTCAAACGGTTTGGTCATCTTTGTAAACAAATATTTCCATCTATGTAATATTAGTTGTATATAAAATGAGTTAATAAATAATTCCACTGTGTGCAATAGGTCAGTACAAAATAAAAAACAAAGTTTGAAAGGGGAGTGATTAGTAAAATATGCATACATAAAAAGAAAGAAGGCAGACTAGGTAAGATAAAGATAGGAGAGAGGAGTTGATCAAATATGTGTTATTGCTTGTGAGCATATTCTAATGGATTTTTGATGATTTAAATATATACTAGTAGCCCCCCTAGAGGATGTGAGGTCATCACAAATAAAACAGGTATACATGGATAGGATACTAGATAAGTGTGCACACTCATTATATACACACTACACATTTGTCTTGGATTTGTTAACACTATAATCCCTAATATATTTGTAGTAAGGCAGGAAATGGAATTAAATTGAGAAAATGTTTCATTGCGGAGGACCCTTTTTTGTGTGCCCCCCACTTCTCAAACCAAAGTTACACCCTTACACCCACACAATGCAAGTACACTATTTAATATGTAATATTTACATTTACCTATCTTCAAATGGATCCTTGTTGCTGTATTCTTCTTCTTCAGAAGAGTAGAAGCCACCAGGTTCTGATGCTGCTCCATCTCCACTGCTGCTAGTGTTACAAGTCCGCTGTGCAGAGCTGGTAATCAGATAATAAGCCTGTTGATCAGGAGAAAATAATGAAGCAGAGGGAAAGTTACTGCCGTTTGTGTGGTCGTTCTAGCCAGAATGTAATAAACACATTAATAAATTCACTTACAAATTATATCTGTTTTCTCTATTTATCTAATAATTCTTTGTGTAACCGGTCTGGATTGATGCCAGATGTATCTCTGCGTTGTGTTGAATGAAAACGACTTCCTTCTTGCCAACCAGGTTTATTATCTGTGCAAACAGAATATAGTGAAGGCAGGAAATGGCTTCACCAGCTTTCTACCTCAATACTTTGCCTCAGTGAGGCCTGAAGCTAACTGAGAATGTAATCATACATTTAGCAAATCAAAATAACCGTATGACATATTTGTCTCTAATCAAAAATGGACATAAATCCACCTGCCATATGACTTTCATGAAGGATTAAAGCCTTTTTCATTTACAGTATATAATACAGTGATAACAGATAACACACAACCCGGTTGACTGTACTCACTTTAACATGGCTATGTTTAGCATTTAAATAATATGAACAATTATGACCTCAGACCAGCATTTCACATATTTATACGAACAGAATAAACTTGAAATGTAAGCCAAACTAGTGATATCGTATCGTAATCGCGAAATCGTAACATTTATTATACCTTTTTAATACTGGAGTCTGGTCGTAAAGTTTATAAATATTGCTTGTCTTATTTGACTTTACATTCGGTTTTGGATCACGTGCCATCAGTATGTCGGACCATTGCATCTCAGGGACGTGCAGTGGTAAGTCCCGTCGGTTGCTCGGACACGATTCTCTTCGATCGCCTGCGTGGTGAATCGTGTGGTGATCACCGCATGTGCTCCATCGCAAATAAAGTCATTGCGATGGCACCAGCTAGACTGTCCTAGGTCAGTGCGCGCGCGACCTGGAGAATAGCGATTGAATATAGCCATCTTGGGTGAGGTGGGGTGTTTTACCGTGACCTGGAAGGGTGGGGGCCGTCCTGAACTATGCGGGGAACTATTTATTTACATTAGGATTTCATCTTTGTTTCTTTTGACGTTGACCTAGTTACCCTAGACTTAATACCACACTATATCTAGAAGATGCAGCTCAACAAAACGTAGATTGAGGTATGCAATGACTTATTTGATTGCGTGTTTGTTTAGAGTAGTGTTTGAAGATTGTCAGAAGAGTGTTGCCTAATCTGGGGTTGATAGGTTAATTTTGCCGTTTTTGCCAATGAAAGGTTCATAAATTTGTATATTGTATAATTTCATATTGTCGGCTATATATGACTTATACAGGATGACTTACTACTAAATGTCATACCGCACGGCGAAATGTAGTGGAGAATTGTGGATGGGCCGATGTAGTACCACATAGGTTAGGTTAAGGCTTGTGATGGGACGCCTAACATGATTGACGTGCTTATGTCGCCATGCTCGCCGATTGTAATGTCATTGGCAATGTAGACACTTTTCACTTTGTCATCTATAGGTTCATCTACTCCTCATTACTAATTCCAAACTTCCGGTCGCGGATTTATACTTTATAACAAGTCCACATATACAGTTTTTAGTCGTCATGTATGAACGCGCTTGCCCAGAACGGAATACCCCTTTTATGTGTTGTGTGTTTGTGGTTATACGATTCCGATTGTGTGCTGTGTGTGTGTATTTGTGGTCGGGTGCTCTCGTTTGGTCTGTTTTTCTTGTGGTGTGATGTGTGTGTGCGGCGTCTACGTTCGATAAGTAACATGCCTTCGTCTTAGAGCATGTTATAATGTTGTAACACTCGTCTAGTCATAAGTTGATCACATATAGACAATTAAACACGCCGCTATTCATAGTACTTCCAGTTTGCTCCTGTTTATAGGATGGCGAACGGCACTTGATAAGACTGAATGTGTAGAACGCATACGTCCTGTCCAGTCATTTCGTAACGGTGTGAGCTTATTCTGTTGAATTACGGAACTAGAGTGTCTGTTTATGCGCGTTTCTTGGTTGTGTGCAGAGTAATGGGTTCACGTACTGGGAGGTAATACTACCTCGATAAGGGGTCAAGATATTGTGCGGTTTATTGCTAATAAAAATTTAGCGGTTGTACAGTGGGTCTCCAGTTGATTGTCTAACTAACGACTTTTCCGATACAAACAGAAACGCTAACAGATGTCACACGTCAGTGACTGTCAGAAATAGTAAATAGTCTGACAGACTTAGATGTGACATGGCTCTCGCGCTTCTTTCGCGATTTCCAAAGAAACCACAAGTACAGTGTGATATAGACGAGTATCACATCAAGTCCAGACGACTCGAGTAGTGTTAATAGAGTCGTCTCTTTGGAGTTTGTTTTACTTTGATTAAAGTCTTATTCAAGTATACCGTTAGATTTTTTTGTGTTTAACCTTTGCGGGGGATAGAATTTAAGAGCAGGTGGTCAATGTGTCCTTCTCGAATGAGGAGGTGAATTGGATTGTTTGCGGGGTACTAGGTACCTATATTATTTAATTTATATGCAATCTTGTGATACTAGGGCTAGTGTAAGGCCGTTAAAACAAACACAAAAAACACCAAAACAACAAACACCAAGTAATATGTGACATAAGGGATGGACAAGTAGAGGAGGCATTCACACTAAGCTTGTGTAATAAAGTGTGAGGTGGCTGTAAGTTAGTCACTAACGCGTCATAAAACAAAGACTCTTAGTTGAGCAACATGAAGTGAGAAAATCAACTGGCACAATTAAAGGAAAAGGCCGGCCACGAAGTCTGAAGGTGCCGCGTTATGTTTTCATTCGGAGGCAGTATTGCGATTACTAACTGGAATGTCTCGATTTTTTATTTCAGCATTTACGTAACATGCTGCTGTTACTTTTGTCCCTTTTTATGAAACTATGTCAGTGTCCGTATTAATGAGACTGAGGTGGTAGAGAGTCCGGTGATTATGTTGGTTGTTATGTAAGAATTTCCTTCTACATTCGCATTGGATATAATATAAAAACAAATATATATATATGTAATATTCGTTTGATGAACCCTTCATTTGACGTAAAGCAACAGAGTCGTAGGATATACCATTAATTAGACAACTTATGTTCAATTACTCGTGCTGATACGTGAAATAACGCTGGAAGGGTTGTATGTGATAGGTGCTATCAGTCATGATCCACGTTATAACGTGTTTTCTCTTTGATGATGGTTATACGCCATGCGCTACCAGCGACAGCTGGCTCTCTACCCTCACGGTCGCTTTCTACTCTCTCGTAGTGTGAGGGGTCGCGGGTGCGATGCGAAGATAAACATCTCGTGTAGTTAACTGTTGAGTAAACGCAGATGTTTGTGTGATTGTTGAAGCTAGTGTGGCTCTTCGGCAGATACTGGCTTCTGTCCATTTCAGGCCAAGTGATTTAGCTCCATGACACGTCGTTAGTGGGAGTTGTGTGGGCTATTCTGATGCACGCATCTTATTACAGTTAGTTGGTGTCATACCATGTGTAATTTTTTGTTTAAGTTGAATTTCTTGTATTAATTACTCTCCAGTCTTATCTTTGTAATTATGTTGGTTGTGTGAGAATATTTATAACCGTATTTAATATAATATCTATAGTTATAATGTCCTATTTGCCAGGGTAGGTGATCTGTGAGCTTCTGTTTGTTTGATAAAGTGGTTAGTGGATGACACTATGTCAAAGTGAAGACCCGCTGTAATTACACCTTGCTAAATTTTTATTTTAGGCGAAAATAGATACACGTGACAATAATTTGGCGGTAACTTCAACATGGACGAGGTCAGACGCGCGCAGTGTACTGGTCTCGCCTATTCTCAGCTCTCTCCGAACGCGCCAGATATATACTTCGCTGGCAGAGTCCTCTAGCCGTAACGACAATAAGAGCTGACGACCTAGGTGAGCGAGAAGACCAGTAACGTGTTGTCAAGTGTAAACTAGTGCTGTTGAGTGAAGAATCGAGCGCAAAGAAATCCCAGCGGTGGTGTTTTATAACTGAAGATTATATTATCACTCTATACTTGGCAGAGTGGTATCTATTTATCGCGACTTGACGGTAGAGCTCGACTAGTAAGCAAGAAGAGAGATCGGTATGTGCACATTAGTCGCATCGTTAGGAGCGCGGACCTCGATAGCAGACTGACACCAATACAGGTGACGAGCATACGTAAAGCGGAATTCGTCAAATGTGATCAAACTGAACAAAGCATGAAAGAGAAAGGTGTATTCCGATTCTGCTGTCAGGTTGTTGTAGACAGTATGACTAACCGAATGGGACTTTACAATGTGGGCGCTAATTAGGTTGTAGTATAGTTTAAGATATCCATGAAGTGAAGTGTAACCCTTTGACACATACACCATGTAGCGACTGTTCCATAGCGTGAACAGTTAAGAGAATAAATGTCAGGTGGTGAGTGACTACAATGCTTGATGTCTTGAGTTGTGTGTGTGTGTGTGTGTGTGTGTGTTCGTGTGTGTGTGCTGTTGTGTGTGTGTGGTTGTGTGTGTGTGTGTGTGTGTGGTGTGTAGTGTGTGTGGTGGTGTGTGTGTGTGGTGTGTGTGTGTGTGGTGTGTGTGTGTGGCGGTCCCTGCTGTATCCGTGTGATGTGTGTGTGTACGTAGTGTTGTGATGATGTATCGCGTCATTGCGTGGTAAATTTAGTGTCATTGATATTGCCCCAATGACTTACCCTTATCATAGTTGATCATTGCAATAAATCAATGGCGTTTCCATCAACACCACGCTGATATGCTCGCTCTAGTGATAACATGATGCAAGATACACTGGTAGTAGGACCATAAAGGTAGATGTTGAGTGAAGCTCTTAGTTTAGAAGATAATTGATTTTAGAACGTCGCCGATGATATTATAATTTGTAGAATAGTATTCAATCGGTGTAGTTTTTGTGCTCTCGCAACCTCTCAGCAATAGACTATCAAGGACGCCCAGTTCCGCTCTCTCAAATAGGAACAATGTTCGTTCACCTGCTGTCGTGGGCACGTCCTTTACCATAGACATAGTTCAGAATAGATATCTGGCGTGC